GTGTTCTGGTTTTTGGTGTTTTCATCCTTTTTGCGTTGGTTTCTTCTCATCTTTGTGGGTTTATCTACCTTTGGTCTTTGAAGTTGGTAACTTTTGGATGCGGTCTCTGAGTGGACATCCTTTATTGTTGATGTTGAGGCTATTCTTTCTGTTTTTTAGTTTTCCTTCTAACAATAAGGCCTCTCAACTGCAGGACTGCTGGAGGTCCACTCCAGACCCTGATTGCCTGGCAGTCATCCACAGGGGATGCAGAACAGCAAGGACTGCTGCCTGTTCCTTTCTCTGGTAGCTTCCTCCCAGGAAGGTACCCACCAGAAGTCAGCCAGAGCTCTCCTGTATGAGACGACTCTTTGGATATACAGGGGTCAGTCAAGGAGCTGCTTGAGGAGACAATCTGTCCCTTGTCAGAGCTCAAGTGCCGTTCTGGGAACTCTGTTGCTCCCTTCAGAGCTGCGGGGCAGTGACGTTTAAGTCTGCTGCAACTGATCCTTTTCCCAGGTGCTCTGTCTTGGGAAGGCGTGGCTTTATTTATAAGTCCCTTACAGGCTGCTGCCTTTTTACAGAGATGCCCTGCCCATGAAGGAGGGAGTCTAGTCACAGTCTGCCTGCAGGGGCATTGTTGAGCTGCCCCGGTCTCCCTGCAGCTGCTGTGTAAATTTTTTTGTGCTTTAGTTTACACAGGTAAGGTTAGAGCTGTCTTGGCAATGGCGGATGCCCCTCCTCTGATGGAGTTTGAATGTCCAAGGTTCAGCTCAAACTGCTAGGCTGGCTGTGAAAATCCCAAGCCTGTGGGATTCAGTTTGCTGGTCTCCGTGGGGGTGGGACCCCTGGAGCCAGATTATCTGGATCCCTGCCTTCAGCCTCTTTCTCTCAGGGGTATGGACGACTCTGTCTCACAGGCGCTCCAGGAGCAGGTCAAAACAGCTGCTCAGATTTGTGCTGGGCACTCTCAGCACTGGCTGAATTGACTGCCCAGATTTGCCCTGGAAACCCAAATCTGGGTGGTGCCTGTTGGCAGGCGGATATCTCCTGGTCTGTGAGCTTCAGAGGTCACGGGAGAAGCACAGCATCCGAACTGGAGCTCCAGAGTGGCTGGAAACGTTTCTAATGGTCTCCATTGGGTAGGAGGGAGGGCCCTCTGGCCCATTGCACTTTCCAGGTGAGGCAGCTCTCCACCCTGCCTTGGTGTGCCCTTCTTGGGCTACACCCACTCTCCAACCAGTCCCATTGAGATGAAACAGATATCTCAGTTGAAAAGGTAGAGATCACTCACCTTGTGCTTCCCTCTCACTGGGAAGTGTGCTCTGGAGCTGTTCCTATTTGGCCATCTTGTGGAAAGTGCTCCCCCCTCGTTCATCCTCCGCCATGCCCTACTTATTTTTTTGGAGACATTGTCTTGCTTTGTCACTCAGGCTAGAGTGCAGTGGTACAGTGCCAGCTCACTGCAGCCTTGATCTCTCAGGCTCAAGTGATTTTTCCACTTCAGCCTCCTAAGTAGCTGGGAATACAGGTGCATGCCACCATATCTGGCTAATTTTGTTTATTTTTTGTAGAAACAAGGTCTTACTATGTTGCCCAGGTCAGTCTTGAACTCTTGGGCTCAAGCAATTCTCTCACTTTAGCCCCACAAAGTGTTGGAATTACAGGCGTGAGCCTCTGCACCTAGCCCAAGATTTTTTCTTTGTCATTTATTTTCAAAAGTTTGCCTATTATATATCTTGGTGTGGAGTCTCTGGAGTTCACTCATCTCCCTATATTGTTTATCAAATTTGGAAACTTTTTAGCCATTTTTTAAATTATTTTCAGCCTTGTCCTCTTTGCCTTTTCTTTCAGTACTCCATTGACATGAATACTGGAGCTTTTGTTATATTCCCACATGTCCCCAAGGTGCTGTTCTTTTTTATTTTATTCTTTTAGTCTATTTTGTTGCTGTTTTTCAAATTGGGTAATAGTTATTTATTTATTTGTTATGTTTTTAGAGACTGGGTCATGCTCTGTTGCCCTGGCTGGAGTGTAGTGGCATGGTCATAGTTCACATAAACTCAAAATCTTGGGCTTAAGCAATCCTCCTACCTTTGCCTCCCAAAGTGCTGTCATTACAGGTGTGAGTCACTGTGCTCTGCCCAGATTCAGTAATTTCTATTTTTCTTTTAGTTTCCTTATTCTCCTTTTTGACCATTTCATTCTTCTATTTGGGTTTTTATTTTGGTTATTGTACTTTTCATTTCATTCTTTTCATCATCTATTTCTTTGCTGAGACTTTCTATTTCATTGCTGAGGGTTTCTATTTGTTTGTTTGTTTGTTTCAAGCATATTTGCAATTGCTCATTGAAGCACTTTCTTGATGACTCCTTTAAAATTTTTATCAGAGAATCCTAACAGCTCTTTCATCTAATTGTTGACATCTGTATGTTATTTTTAAAATTTAATTTATCTTCTTGGTCATTGGTGCAATGGGCAATTTCTTTATATTGAAACTTGAACATTTTTATATCGTGTTTTGAAACTCTGGAGCTTACTTATTCTGTTTTAGCTAGTTTCTCTTGATACTGCTCTATCAGAGAGGTCTTGAGCACTACCTCATTAGTGTCACTTGAAGATAAAGTTCAAGTTTCCTGTAGACCCACATCGACAAATACATGGACATGTACTCTATACTTCTAGGTGGTGTGGAAGTTTTGGCTCCACATGTGTTCTCCATAGAACATAGAGTGATGCCCTTGTTATCACATGGTGAAAGGTCTTGGCTCTCCACTAAACTTCCTCTAACATCATCTGGATATTTGTCCTCTTAAAATGTCATGTTGAATTGTGATGCTTAACATTGGAGGTGAGGATATCAGGAGGTGTTTGGGTCACAGGGGTGCATCCCTCGTGAATGACTTGGTGCTATTCTTGGGGTAGTGGGTGAGTTCCCACTCTGAGTTCACACAAGATCTAGTAATTTAAAGGAGTGTGGTATTGCCTTCCTTTTCTTCTTGATCTCTCTAATTATGTGATATGCTGGTCTTCCCTTTGTGTTCATCTATGATTGGCAGCTTCCTGAGGCCCTTACCAGAAGCAGATGCCAGCACCCTGCTTCCCATACAGCATGCAGAACCTTGAGGCAGATAAACCTCTTTGCTTTGTAGATTACGCAGTCTCAGGTATTTCTCTACAGCAATACAAAATAAACTAATACAGAAAATTGGTACCAAAGACTGGGGTGTTGCTATAAAGATATCTGAAGATGTGAAAGTAGCTTTGGAGCTGGGTAATGGGCTGAGATTGGAAGAATTTGGAGGTCTCAGAAGAAGACAGGAAGATGAGGGAAAGTTTGGAATTCTTTAGAGACTTGTTAGGTGGTTGTGACAAAAATGCTAATAGAAATATGGATAGTGGGCCGGGTGCAGTGGCTCACGCCTGTAATCCCAGCACTTTGGTAGGCCGAGGTGGGTGGATCACGAGGTCAAAAGATCGAGACCATCCTGATCAATATGGTGAAACCCCGTCTCTACTAAAAATACAAAAAATTAGCTGGGCATGGTGGCACGTGCCTGTAATCCCAGCTACTCAGGAGGCTGAGGCAGGAGAATTGCCCGAACCCAGGAGGTGGAGGTTGTGGTGAGCCAAGATCGCGCCATTGCACTTCAGCCTGGGTAACAAGAACGAAACTCCGTCTCAAAAAAAAAAAAAAAAAAAAAAAAAAGAAATATGGATAGTGAAGACCAGGCTGATGAGTTCTCAGATGGAAATGAGGAATTTCTTGGGAACTGGAGCAAAGGTCACTCTTTATTATGCCTTAGTAAAGAACTTGGCTGCATTGTGTCAATGTCCTGGGGATTTGTGGAAGGTTGAACTTAGGTATATGATGACCTAGGATATCTGGTGGAAGAAATTTCTAAGCAGAGAAGCATTCAAGTATGGCATGGCTGCTTCTAACAACCTATGATTAGATATGGGAGCAAATAAATGACTTAAAGTTGGAACTTATATTTAAAAGTGAAGTAAAGTGTAAAAATTTGCAACAGTCACAACCTGGCCATGTAGTAAGAGAGGGAAAAAGCATTTTCAGGAAATAGATTCAAGAGGGCGGCAGAGAAACCATTTGCCATGGAAATTAGGATGACTAAAAGGGAGCTGAGTGCTCATACCTAAGATAATGGGGAAAAGGTGTCCAAGCCATTTCAGAAACCTTCCAGAGAGCCCCTCTCATAACAGATCCAGAGACCTGGGAGGAAAGAATGATTTTGAGGACCAGTCACAAGGCCCTGCTGGCATGTGAGGCCTTGGGACACTGCTCCCAGGATCCTGACTGTTCTGACTCCAGCTGGAGCTCAAAGGGCTACAGGTACAGCTCTGGCCACTGCTTTGGACAGTGCAGGCCACCATAAGCCTTGGCCACTTCCATATGGTGTTAAGCCTGTAGGCACACAGAATGTAAGTGTGAAGGAGGCTTGGCAGCTTTCACCTAGATTTCTGAGGGTCTATCAGAAAGCCTGCATGCCTAGGCAGACGCCTGCCACAGGGTGGAGTTCCCACAAAGAACTTCTACTAGAGCAGTTCCCGGGGAAATGTGGGGTTGGAGCTCTCCCACTGAGTTTTCACCTGCATACTTTCTAGTGGAGCCATGGGAAGGGGACCACTATCCTCTAGATCCAAGAATGATCTGAGAATGCCACTAGCAGCTTGCACACTGAGCCTGGTGAAGCTGCAGGCATTCAATTCCAAGCCATGATATCATCAATGGGGTTGTATCCTACAAAGCCATGGGGATGGGGCTGCCCAAGACCTTAGGAGTCTGCTCTGTACCAGTATGCCCTGGGTACAGGACATGGAGTCAATAATTATTTTAAAGCTTTAGGATTTAATGTCTGCCCTGTGTGGTTTCACTTGGGTGGGGCTGTTCCTTTCTTGTGGCTATTTTCTTCCTTTTAGAATGGAAATGTTTGCCCAATGCAATGTTGTACCACCATTGTATCTTGGAAGTAAATGCCTTTTTTTTTTTTTTAATCTTATAGACTTATAGGTAGAAAGAACTTGCCTTGAGTCTCAGATGGGACTTAGGACTTTTGATTGAGTTGATGCTGGAACAAGTGAAGACTTTCGGGGAACTATTGGTAAGGAATAATTGGATTATGCAATGTAAGAAGATAATGAGATTTAGAGAGCTAGGGGTGGTATGATACGGTTTGGATATTTGGCTCCTCCTAATCTCATGTTGAAATGCGATCCCCCATGTTGGAGATGGACCTTGTTGCAGATGTTTGTGTCATTGGGGTGGATCCCTCATGAATGGCTTGGTACTTGGTAATGAGTGAGTTCCCACTCTATGAGTTCACGTGAGATTTTTTTTTTTCCTGAGTTTGGCACCTCCTCCCTCTCTCTCTTGCTTTCTCTCTCGCTTATCATGTGATATGCTGGCTCCCCCTTTGCTTTCAGTTGTGATTGAAAGCTTCCTGAGGCCCTCACCAAAAGCAGATGCTGGCACTATGCTTCTTATACAGCTTAGAGAACTATGAGCCAAATAAACCTCTTTTCTTTATACATTATCCAGCCTCAGATACTCCCTTATAGCAATGCAAAATTGACTAATGCACCACCCAGCGGAGAGGGAGAAGTGGCACCATGTTATTTTCTGCATAGGAGTACTAGTCTAGGTTGCCCACATGGCCTCCTCTGGTACCACAACTGTGGAGCTTGTTAGCATTTGGGGAAATTAAAGTCTCAGTTTCATATTTTGGCCTGCTCTGATACCCCCAGAAGTATTGGGGTTCCTCATAACAGCTTTGTAAGAGTGTAAATCTAGGTTCCCCACTCAACTTTTGCTGGTGTGGAGCCACAGTTTTTTTCTGTGGTAATTACCTGGAGTAAATGATTATCTAGGAGTTCTTTTTTGTCTTCCTAGGCTGCCTATTTCCTGGTCCTTTGTCTCGAGAGCATGCTTTTTTTTTTTTTTTTTTTTTTTTTTTTAAAGCTATTTGCATCAGTACCCAGTGATGTTTCTGGGTTGTTGGCTTCTTCTGCTACAAGTCGGGAATAGATATGGCAAAAACCCAGAGAGTTCACCACTGTGTGTCATTCTTCAAAATTTCTAATACCTTAAAGTACTTTGCACTTTCAAATGTTGACAATGTTCTCTAAATCTGCTAATCTTTAGAATGTTTCCAAGTTCAAAATTTGCTTCATTTTTGGACTAAGAGAATTCATATATCTTATATTGCTGTATCTTTTGGAATAAAGTAATTACTACATTGAACTACTGTTAAAATATATAAACTGCTTTTTAAAAAATAAAATAGCTCCATGTTTTATCTATATTTTAATTATCAAATAAACAAAGATTTAGGCTTTCTGATTATGAAGACATGCTGGATTAAATAATCCTTATTCATATTAATATTCTTAAATATTCTACTTAAAATAGAAACATTATGGTTATTCCTTTAAAAATAACTAGTGATAGCTTATTCTGTTCACATTTCTTAGTCAAACTAAGATGTAGCTATGGGATTCTGATTATAAATTGGACTGAAGTTGAAATAGAGGCTTATTAATAGGTAGGTTATTCTCAAATTATTTTTTAAGTATATCTTTGCATTAGATTTACATTTTTCTTTTGACTATGGACTATATTAAGATTCTCAGTATGTGTCTCTGATACTGCAATTCAATATCCATATTATTTTTGTTGTAATATGACAATGCTCTTGACAAGAAAAAAGCATGGGTGAAAATTTAACATAGGAATAAAAGATCTAGTGTACACTGAATAAATTAGGAGTACTGACTTTTGGAAGTCAAAGTTGTAAGTTCAATACTTAGGTCATTATATAACAAGCAACAAAGGAAAATGTCACAAATGTCTTTATTCTAACATTTAAAGTATCAGACAATGATGAAGTTGTTTATACCACATTAAGGAATTTTACATGTATTCAGAAAATTTCCAAAAATGTCACCTGTAAGTACCTGATGACTATATATACATATACGTATGTGTGTGTATCATATCATTTAAAAAATAAATACCCAGGCCATCCTAGAATAAGGTAAATCTTAGTAGTCAAAGTACCTTATTTTAAAACTTTGACATTCAGTTGCAAATATTTATAATAAAAATATATGAGCCGATAAATCGTTTTAAATAAAATGATGTAAGGAGAGGTTATTTAAGTACATCCTAAAGTTTCTATTTCAATTGTAATATGTTTGTAATCATTACTAAAGGAAAATACCGATTACATACTCTCCAATAAGATTTTAAAAGTCTTGGGTCTTTAAAGGACATAGAAGTGAAGATGATGGCATTGAATACATTGCAGACGGGTATAGGTACTGCATTTTGAAAATCAATGAATGGACCTAAAATTTACATTGGCCACATGATGGCGCTGTATACCACAGAGTATTGTCAATAGAAAGGACATAGTGATCACTAAAAGTAAAGAAGGAAGCTCCATTTTGTCACTGCCTGAGAGAAAACTGAAACGGTGACGAGATAGATGACTGGGAATAGTACATAAAATAGTATGATTTTGAAGTAAGGAGAGAGCAGTAAGACAGGTGTAGTGCTTTTGCAATGGTGTTTTCTAGGAGAGGAGGCCTGGGAACCCGGGATCTGCTTCTTTCATTTCTGCTCCTCGCAGCCTGGGAGGTGGGGAGCGGCCGGCTCCTCTACTCGATCCCGGAGGAAGCCAGACACGGCACTTTCGTTGGCCGCATTGCTCAGGATCTGGGGCTGGAGCTGGTGCCGCGCCTATTCCGGGTGGCGTCCAAGGTCCGCGGGGACCTTCTGGGGGTAAATCTGCAGAATGGCATTTTGTTTGTGAATTCTCAGATCGACCAGGAGGAGCTGTGCGGGCGGAGCGCCGGGTGCAGCATCTACCTAGAGGTGATCGTGGACAGGCCGCTGCAGGTTTTCCATGTGGAGGTGAAGGTGAAAGGTATTAACGATAATCCACCCGTCTTCAGAAGTAGAGTACAAAGAATATTCATTTCTGAATCTAGATTCCTGGATTCGCGTTTTCTGATAGGAGCTGCGGATGCAGACATTGGTGCTAACGCTCTTCTAACGTACACCCTCAGCCCCAGTGAGTATTTCTCTTTGGATGTACAGGCAAGTGAGGAACTGAGTAAATCTCTTTGGCTTGAATTGAGAAAATCTTTGGATAGAGAAGAAACATCAGAAGTTCATTTATTATTGACAGCCACTGACATGGGCAAACCGGAGCTGCAAGGTACAGTTGAGCTGCTGATCACTGTGCTCGACGTTAATGATAATGCCCCACTATTTGACCAAGCAGTATACAGAATCCACTTATTAGAGACTGCAGCAAATGGAACATTACCACATTAATGTGGTCATTGACCACATTAAATGCCTCTGACGCTGACGAAGGTGCAAATGGTGAAGTTGTCTTTTCCTTTGATAGTCGTATTTCTCCTGACATTCAAGAAAAATTCAAAGTTGATTCCAGCTCAGGAGAAATTAGGTTAATTGATAAACTGGATTATGAAGAAACAAAATCCTACGAAATTCAAGTAAAGGCAGTTGATAAAGGAAGTCCTCCAATGTCATATCACTGCAAGGTTTTGGTGAAAGTGCTGGATGTAAATGATAATGCTCCGGAACTGGCAGTAACTTCACTCTCTTTGCCCATCAGAGAGGACGCTCCACTTAGCACCGTCATCACCCTCATCAGCGTGTCTGACCGTGACTCAGGTGCCAATGGGCAGGTCACCTGCTCCCTAGTGCCCCATGTCCCCTTCAAGCTGGTGTCCACCTTCAGGAATTACTACTCGTTGGTGCTGGACAGCACCCTGGACCCCGAGAGCCTCTCAGTCTATGAGCTAGTGGTGACCGCGCGGGACGGGGGCTCACCTTCACTGTGGGCCACGGCCAGCGTGTCTGTGGAGGTGGCCAACGTGAACGACAACGTGCCAGCGTTCGCACAGCCTGAGTACACTGTGTTCGTGAAGAAGAACAACCCGCCAGGCTGTCACATCTTCACTGTGTCAGCTCAGGACGCAGACGCGCAGGAAAATGCGCTGGTGTCCTACTCGTTGGTGGAGCCGCGGGTGGGCGATCGCGCGCTGTCGAGCTACGTGTCGGTGCACGCGGAGAGCGGCAAGGTGTACACGCTGCAGCCGCTGGACCACGAGGCACTGGAGCTGCTACAGTTCCAGGTGACCGCGTGCGACGCGGGCGTGCCACCTCTGGGCAGCAATGTGAGGTGTTTGTGCTGGACGAGAACGATAACGCACCGGCGCTGCTGGGGCCTCGAGTGGGTGGCACCAGCGGTGCAGTCAGTGAGCTGGTGCCGCGACTGGTGGGTGCGGGTCATGTGGTGGCAAAGGTGCGCGCAGTGGACGCTGCCTCAGGCTACAACACGTGGCTGTCCTATGAGCTGCAATCGGCAGCAGGTGGCGCACGCATCCCGTTCCGCGTGGGACTGTACACGGGCGAAATCAGCACGACTCGTGTCCTGGACGAGGCTGACTTGCCACGCCACTGCCTTCTGGTGCTGGTGAAGGACCACGGTGAGCCGGCACTGACAGCCAAGGCCACTGTGCTTGTGTCGCTGGTGGAGAGCGGCCAGGTGCCAAAGGCCTCGTCGCGGGCGTCGGTGGGTGCCACGGGCGCAGAGGCGGCGTTGGTGGATGTCAACGTGTACTTGATCATCGCCATCTGTGCGGTGTCTAGCCTGCTGGTGCTCACGCTGCTGCTGCACACGGCGCTGCGGTGCTCAGCGCCGCCCACTGAGGGTGTGTGCGCGCCAGGCAAGCCCACTCTGGTGTGCTCCAGCACTGTGGGTAGCTGGTCGAAATCGCAGCAGAGGCAGCAAAGGATGTGCTCTGGGGAGGACCCACCCAAGACGGACCTCATGGCCTTCAGCCCAGGCCTACCTCCAAGTCTTAACACATCAGAAAGAAATGAACAACCAGAAGCAAATTTGGGTCTTTCTGGTAATGTAAGTCCAACTTTCGAGCTTTGGCTTTAAATATTTTTCACATTTAACTTGTCTAATCATCTTTTAAAATATCACTTTAAAAAATGTCTTCAGGGTGTTCACTAACATGGAAACAAATCGTACCAGTGAATGCAGATATTCTATTAATGGCAGTTTTGTCTTGAATGGAACTAGAAAGCAAACAAAAAAATGTAGGGACAAATTGTCATATTTCTTGATTTAAAGGCAGGTTAAAAAAAGCTACAACACAAAGTAATGATCATATTTAACACAGGATATCAATGTAGTAAAATAACTGTCATATTCAGGGTAACTTATTATGTTATATCTTCTGGTGAAATGTTAAGCCTCATACAAACAATTCTGGGCAAAGTTATAGAAATCATCTGCCTTTCCTTTACATGGCTAAGTTTCAAAGTGAACAATAAACTGAATAGTTTTAAAACAATGTAATTTAAAATACATTTATTCACCAGGGGTGGTGGCTCACTCCTGTAATCCCAGCACTTTGGGAGGCCAAAGCAGCGGATCACCTGAGGTTAGGAGTTTGAGACTAGCCTGGACAACATGGTGGAACCCTGTCTCAACTAAAAATACAAAAAAATTAGCCAGGCATGGTGACAGGCAACTGTAATCCCAGCTACTCAGGGAGGCTGAGGCAGGAAAATCAGTTGAACCCCAGAGGCGGAGGTTGCAGTGAACCCAGATTGCACCACTGCACTCTAGCCTGGACAACAAAGTGAGATTCCATCTCAAAAACAACAATAACAACAACAAAAAACTCAAAACGAACACACAAACAAAAAACACCATTTTATTGGGTGATTTAATTTCTTTATAAAAAAATACAACTTCGACTTCATTGTCATTGTGAGCAATTTCTTGATGCCATTAATCTTGAACTCCCCTGGGTCTAGAAGGCCTAATAGTGCATGTATTTGCTATTTCGGGGATCCAATTAGGAAACAATTATTAAGCACCTCCCATTCACTCACAAATGTTCTAAAACTCTTTACTTTTTAGCTAATTCAATCCTTCCAGTGATTTTGTGAAGTGGAAACTTTAGTCACATTTTGTGGATAAAGGTGCAGGGGCTCAGAAAACCTAAGTTCAGTATTATTACTAAGTTTTCTTCAAGTTTCCCAAGAATATTCAAAACTTGCTTGCTCTAATACAGTTCTTTACCTTTCCTAAAATATTTAAGCTTGCTTATAGTGGAAGACATTTGCAAAAGCAAATGATAAAAAAATCTGCTTAAAAGCCAAAGTAAAAGATCAAGAGAAAGGTGGGAGTCATTTCAAAAATCAAGCCTAGGCTACGTGCAAATCCTAATACTTACCTTCCTGTAAGTCAATATCAAAGCATGAAAAATAATAATAAAAAGAAATTATCTATTCCATTTCTTCAGGAGAGAAAAAGTAGCCTCTTTCTGCTATAAAATCAAGGAAGGTTTGATTACTGATGATTGTGTAAAGGTTGAGCAATCTATTGGGCAGTATGTTTTTATAGTAGTTTTGCAAAACCTATGGAAATATAGTTGATGTAGATAATATTGTATTTGCTAATCATTCCGTCAAGGGCGTAATGTTAAATCTTATTTCCTATGTTTACTTCTGAAGTTACTTACGTATTAAATAAATATATTTTTGTCAAACATTCAAACATACATGAATGTCCCCTTGTGAAGACATTCTATGAGAAATTAATATAATTTGCTAGTTAAGTTTCCAGAGATTTGAGTTGATACAGTATTATCAACTTACACAGTTAGTTGCTTAGAGTATTGTAAAAAATAGGCTGTAAGCATGTTCTGTAACTTTTAATATATTATCATACTCAGCCTTTTGGCAGGAATCAGAACAAAATGATCTTAGGATCATGTTGCCAAGAAAATGTCCCAGTTCCTCAAAATATGAGACAAACATTGCAGGATTATAAAATTGGAAAAATAGATTAGAAAATCACAAAATAATTTCTCTTTCCAATTCACATTATTATGTTCCTAAAGCTTTATTTGCTAAACATATATATATATATATTTTTTTTTTTTTGAGATGGAGTTTTGCTCTTGTAGCCCAGGCTGGAGTACAATGGCGCGATCTTGGCTCACCGCAATCTCTGCCTCCCAGGTTCAAGCGATTCTCCTGCTTCAGCCTTCCAAGTAGCTAGGATTACAAGCATGTGTCACCATGCCCAGCTAATTTTGTATTTTTAGTAGAGATGGGGTTTCTTCATGTTGATCAGGTTGGTTTCGAGCTCCTGATCTCAGATGATCCACCTGTCTTGGCTTCCCAAAGGGCTAGGATTACAGGCTTGAGCTACTGTGCATAGCCCATTTGCTAACAATATTAATGTCCAGACAGGATTGCCTTTAGATACATTCAATATTTCTATATTTAGTTTTGTAGGTTAGTTGAGGGTATTAACTTGAAGGTGAATCTCAAATGATAGTGAATTACTATTAAACCAGAAGAATGGGTGTATGAATACAAAATTTGAAAAGTGATTTTTACGAAAAGGTAATTCTAGAATGGAGGAAAAGATGATTGTGGAGTGATATTGTCACTTAGTATTTATTTTAATGTAAATATGAGTGGATTTCTCATTGGTAGTTAAAGTTCTTGCTCCATTCTGAATCTTCATATAGTTAACATGTCTTTCAGTAGGTTTGTCTTTCTTCACAAGATGTCTTCCACAAACTAGCAAGTATCATTTAAGGGACCTTAGAGACTTGTGGTCAGTCAAGGATGCAAATAGATGAAAATATAAGAAATAGTTTATATGGGTCCTGGATGAGGCCACTACCAATATTTGTCTGAGAATGCTGGAGGATTTCACTTTTCTGTTGCTTTGAGATAGCACAATTGTGTGATTTCCTTTGGCCAATGAAATGTGAATGGTGTGTCACTTCCAAGCACAATTATGTAACTGCCAGTGAAAGACTTCTGCTCTCTTTTCCTGTTATAGCAATTACATAAGCACTGGTTGACATTGAGATGCCGTAAAGTCAAAACAATCTGGGATGCTGAGCAAACATGTGGAGAAAAGCTGTCATAGGAAGTATCCAATAACACAATTTTATTTACAAGAAATTAAATTATTATTATTTTAGAGGGAAAACTGAGCATCAACTCACAACAGCATATGTATTGGGGTCCCAATGCCATTAAGCTAATGTGAACAGAACAAATTTTAAAAGGAGAGATTTTTTTTACAACAAGAAATACAACTGTAGGAGAACATTATTATTGATATTTTTTACCAAGACATGTGACCGTTAAGCAGATTAGGTAACTTGAATTCCATGAAAAAAAAAAAAAAACTACTGTTTTGCTTTTTTTTCTTAAATAGCAGACAAAAAATAATAAAACTGAAATAAGCTGAAATTTAAAATGTCATAGATATTCCTTCTTTTTTCTTGCTTAGCATCCATTCCCCTTGTTGTTTTCTTCTTCTGGGGTCTTGCAGCAGTTTTGTGGAAGACTAGGTTGAAGGTTTTGCAACAACAATGAGTGCTTGGATATGCAAATGTGGAATACACAGTTGCGTAGACAGATGCAAAGGGTATAATTTTAGCAATAGATACTCTGTTTCCTTGGGCTGATGCAATGAATTACCATAGCCTTGGTGGCTTAAAATAACAGAAATTTATTCTCTTACAGTCTCTGTAAGAATAAACCTCTTCTCTCTTACAAAGGCCAGAAGTCCAAAATCAAGGTGTTGCCTGGACCACATTTCTTCTGAAGATTTTAGGGGAACATTTTTTTCTTGCATCTTCCAGCTTTTGGTAGCTCTTGGCATTGCTTGGCTTGTGGCAGCATAACTCTAGTTCCTGCCTTTGTCTTCACATTTATTTCTTTCCTGTGTTACTATATGCCTTCTCTTTTTCTGTCTTTTAAAAGGGGCAACCATCATTGGATGTATGGCCTTCTCTAATCTAGGATGATCTCATACCAAGATCCTCACATTTATTATATCTGCAAAGAACTTTGTTCCAAATACCATCACTTTCTGAGATTCTGAGCATATATGTCTTTTGGGGTATCTTTGACCCACTACAGGTACCAAGAGATATCAGGGGGAGGAGGGATATTTGCTGAGCTTGGCTGATTAGTCTCTTCCCCATTGTGGGGGAAATGTACTTGCATATCTGGCAACAGTACTCTATCTCCAGGGGAGGGAGAGAAGTATTCTAGATTCTCAGAAATCCTAAATAACAACACAAAATGTCCTTATACCCCCACATATGTCATTCTGAAAATCCAGTACAATTACTTTATAAGATTTCAGAAATTGTCTCAAGCAAGCCATGTTTCCTGAAGCTAGTATCTGGATTCTTGGTATAATTCCTTTATGTGTCCACAGTGGTCAATGTTGGCCATGATTAAATAATGCTTACTGGGTATCATATGTATGCAGTTGCTTTGCAAACCACCTAATGCTGTAATGCTCAGTTCTGTAGCTATCTGCAACTAGTTTAAGCTCAAGGAGAACTTTTCAGTTCACATAAGAACCAACCTCCCACTTTTCAGTTCACATAATTTAGGTGGAACTGATTTCATTTTCTGGCTTCAAGAATGAACAAGTGAACCATGTCTAGCCAATGTGAGAACAATCACAATTATTGACTAAAGGAAATTTATGTCATCCAAACTGGGCTGTAGGAAGTAATATCCAGGATTTTTGCTGGACTATTAGAAAAGGGCACTTTCTGGTAAGAGTCACTACACTGGTAGTTTGTAGTCTAAAAAGCTACTTTGGCCATTTTGCCAGCACATGGAAAAGTTTAACTGAGAAGGTCAGCAGAGGAAAAGGAGTTATAAATGTGGAGATTATTTTCCTTATAGAATTATGGAAGGGTGTAGACCCAGTTCTGCCTGAAACCAGTAATTAATTACCCATTTTTAAGTACAAGCCAATAAGTGATCCTCTGGTTTATTTTTGCTTAAATCAGTTATAAGTATGATTAATATAGTTATTAATATAATTAGAGTATGAATAATCAGTTATGAATATGATTAGAGTGTGATTAATATAAATATAGACTTCCATAGATGGTACAAATAAGTATCTTAAGATACTGTACACAAGGGAAAAATTGTTATTGGGAAAAAAGCTAGCTTTTCTTAACAAGAGCTTTGCTTTTCTCTTATGGGCATTGCACATTTTGCAATTAATTTTACTTTTCTCTTTGCTCTAGGAAGTTGAAAACAAAATTTGTGACATGCTTAGAGTAACTGAGAGTGACCCTTTATTAGGCGTTTTGTATGCTCTCCTACTTCTTGATTCATTTTATTTCATCATCATCTTATCTTTATTGTATTTTCATTTTATTTTTTTACTATGACGGGATCAGCTAAAAATTAACAAAAGAAAATATTCTCAAGTAATAAACACTAAAAAAGAGATCAATTATATTGTTCTAGCATAAAAGTCTAAATCTAACAGAAAAGGAAATATTCTAAATTAGTAATCATTATCCAAATGAGAAAAAAACATTAATTTCCAAACATCTGCAAACAATTAAAAAATAAAAATTAAATCACAAAACAACGGTATATATACGTATATTTTCAATGAACTAAAACACCTTTGATTACTCCGTTCTTCATTTGAAGAAACAGTGGGAAATAATATATCCAAAAGCATTGACATCAGAGTCTCGAAGAAGTATTTGCACACCCATGTTCATGGCAGCATTGTTCACAACAGTCAAGAGATGGAAGCAATTCAAACGTCCACGGATGCTTGAATAAATGAACAAAACCTGGTGTATATGTAATGAATTATCATTCAACCTTAAAAAGGAACGAAATCCTGTCACAGGTTACAACATGGATGAACCTTGAGGACATGGTGCGAAGTGAAATAGGCCAGTCCCAAAAAGACAAATACTATATGAGACCACTTATATGAAATATCTAAAGTAGTCAAAATTCATAGAAATAGAAAATAGGACTGTGGTTACCAGAGACTGGAATGAGGGTGAAAAGGGGAGTTGTTGTCTAATGGGTATAGAATTTCTGTTTTCCCAAAATGTAAAATTTATAACAATGTGAATATACTTAACATTACTGAAATGTACCCTTAATCATAGTTAATATGGTAATTTATATGTTGTGCATTTTTACCAGAGTGAAAAAGGGTAAAAAGCTAATATATTTTAGGGCTTAAAATAGGTATTTTTCAAAGATGAAAGTTATGAGTAAACTTAGACCAGAAAATTGACTAATTTTAAATCTACGGAATAAACGGTAGAGCCACATGATGTCGCTGTCTTCCATAGAGTGTTCTCTAGGAAAGAAAATACCCAGAGCCCCTTTGTTACTCCAGAGAAGCGGAGGAATAGGGAAGCAGCAGGACTTTAACAGGGATTAGAATAGTTAAATTTTTGCAAAACATGCTCTTCTAATTTGATCAAATCACTGAGGATTGGCAATGGCGTCTTCTACCAGAAGGGCCCGAAAGGCCTGGACTCGGCTGCTCTGGCTTCTTCTCTTCTCATTCTGGGAGGTGGGGAGCGGTCAGCTCCACTACTCTGTCTCTGAGGAGGCCAAACACGGCACATTCGTGGGCCGCATCGCGCAGGACCTGGGGCTGGAGCTGGCTGAGCTGGTGCCGCGCCTGTTCCGGGTGGCGTCCAAAACACACGGGGAACTTCTGGAGATAAATCTGCAGAATGGCATTTTGTTTGTGAATTCTCGGATCGACCGCGAGGAGCTGTGCGGACAGAACGCGGAGTGCAGCATCCACCTGGAGGTGATCGTGGACAGGCCGCTGCAGGTTTTCCATGTGGACGTGGAGGTGAAGGACATTAACGACAACCCGCCAGTATTTCCAATGGCAGTAAAGACTATCCGGTTTTTCGAATCGAGGCTGGTTGACTCTCGGTTTCCTCTAGAGGGAGCATCTGATGCAGATACGGGAGTAAACGCTCTTCTCTCCTACAAGCTCAGCCCCAGTGAGTTTTTCTTCCTAGATATACAGACAAATGATGAACTAAGCCAATCTTTGTCTCTCGTTCTGGGGAAATCGCTGGACAGAGAGGAAACTGCCGAGATGAATTTGTTACTGGTGGCTACTGATGGGGGCAAACCTGAGCTCACGGGCACCGTTCAAATACTTATTAAGGTATTAGATGTAAATGACAATGAACCAACTTTTGCCCAATCAGTTTACAAAGTAAAATTGTTAGAGAATACTGCAAATGGGACCTTAGTAGTTAAATTAAACGCTTCTGATGCAGATGAAGGATCAAACAGCGAGATTGTGTATTCACTGAGTAGTGATGTGTCCTCCACTATACAGACTAAGTTTAAAATATATCCCAGCTCAGGAGAAATCAGAACTAAGGGAAAATTAGATTATGAAGAATCAAAATCCTACGAGATTCAGGTCACTGCAACTGACAGAGGAACCCCGTCAATGTCGGGACATTGTAAAATTTTATTAAAACTTGTGGACATCAATGATAACACACCGGAAGTCTCAATAACGTCTCTCTCACTTCCCATCTCAGAGAACGCTTCCCTGGGCACCGTCATTGCTCTAATCACGGTGTCGGATCGCGACTCTGGCCCTAATGGACGAGTCACCTGCTCCCTGACGCCACACGTCCCATTCAAGCTGGTGTCCACCTTCAAGAATTACTACTCATTGGTGCTGGACAGCGCCCTGGACCGCGAGAGCGTGTCAGCCTATGAGCTGGTGGTGACCGCGCGGGACGGGGGCTCGCCTTCGCTGTGGGTCACAGCCAGCGTGTCTGTGGAGGTGGCCGACGTGAACGACAACGCTCCGGCGTTCGCGCAGCCCGAGTACACGGTGTTCGTGAAGGAGAACAACCCGCCGGGCTGCCACATCTTCACTGTGTCTGCGTGGGACGCAGACGCGCAGGAGAACGCGCTGGTGTCCTACTCGCTGGTGGAGCGGCGGGTGGGCGATCGCGCGCTGTCGAGCTACGTGTCGGTGCACGCGGAGAGCGGCAAGGTGTACGCGCTGCAGCCGCTGGACCACGAGGAGCTGGAGCTGCTGCAGTTCCAGGTGAGCGCGCGCGACGCGGGCGTGCCGCCTCTGGGCAGCAACGTGACGCTGCAGGTGTTCGTGCTGGACGAGAATGATAACGCGCCGGCACTGCTGGCGCCTAGGGCTGGCACCGCTGCCGGCGCGGTGAGCGAGGTAGTGCCGTGGTCAGTGGGTGCTGGCCACGTGGTGGCGAAGGTGAGGGCAGTGGATGCTGACTCAGGCTACAACGCGTGGCTTTCCTACGAGCTGCAGCTGGGGACTGGCAGCGTGCGCATTCCGTTCCGTGTGGGGCTGTACACGGGAGAGATCAGCACGACACGTGCCCTAGACGAGGCGGATTTACCTCGCCACCGCCTACTCGTGCTAGTGAAGGACCACGGTGAGCCGGCGCTGACAGCCACGGCCACGGTGCTGGTGTCGTTGGTGGAAAGTGGCCAGGCACCCAAGGCCTCGTCGCGGGTGTGGGTGGGCACCGCAGGCTCAGAGGCTGCGCTGGTGGATGTCAACGTGTACCTGATCATCGCCATCTGCGCGGTGTCCAGCCTTTTGGTGCTCACGCTGCTGCTGTACACGGCGCTACGGTGCTCGGTGCCGCCCAACGAGGGTGCGTGCGCGCCGGGAAAGCCCACGCTGGTGTGCTCCAGCGCGGTGGGGAGCTGGTCTTACTCGCAGCAGAGGCAGCAGAGGGTGTGCTCTGGAGAGGACCCGCCCAAGACAGACCTCATGGCCTTCAGCCCCAGCTTATCTCAAGGTCCAGATTCCACAGAAGAGAGACAGCTCTCAGAATCAGAATATGTAGGAAAGGTGAGTCTTTCAATTTTTCTTACCAATTCTAAAAATTTTTAAAAATTCTATATGATTTCTATTATTTAGATTAATAATTCTTCATTTATTTTATATCATCCTACTGTGTGATATTGAATATGAATTAGAGATTAATTTCTTGCATTTAGTGAACAATTTAAACAATCTACTTAACTTTTTTCTTATGTTTACATTTTGACATTTCCATCATTAAATCATGAGTAATAGATCTGGAAAGACTGAAAAACACCTCAGCATAATTTGTAAATTAAACATTGCCCATAAATATTTTCTCTTTTAAAAATTGAAAATCACAATCAGAAGAAATTAAAGAATTTGATTATATAATGAATATTTTCAATTGACACTGTCTATCCATTTTGTCAAATAGGGTTTGGAATAAACTATATTTTGGACATTTCTTAGATTGTTCTTTGGATCAATAATGCCCTTGTCTATGCAATAGTTAATAAGCTACATTTTCTTTTCTTTTTCTTTCTTTCTTTTTAAAATTTTTGTTGAGACAGAATCTTGCTCTGTTGCTCAGGCTGGAGTGCAGTGGCATGATCTAAGCTCACTGTAACCTCTGCCTCCTGGGTTCAAGTGTGATTTTCCTGCCTCAGGCTCCTGAGTAACTGGGATTACAGGCACCCACCACCATCCCTGGCTAATTTACAAAAATTTTTTATTTTTAGTAGAGATGGGGTTTCTCTATGTTGGCCAGGCTGGTCTTGAACTCCTGGCCTCAAGTGATTCACCCACTTGGTCTCCCAAAGTGCTGGGATTACAGGAGTGAGCCACTGTGACTGGCCTTTTTGTTTGTATTTGAAAGTAGCCTGAGCCTGAGTGGATCTTTTAATGCCAGAATCTCCAAAAGTATCTATCACAGGTTGTTACAACAAAATGACAGCACTTAGGAATAACTGCTAATCTTAAATATGTTTTTATAAGTAAAATAACCTATTATTCCATATAAGGATTTCACACTTGCAGAATCTTTGAGTTGTCAGGCAAAAGTAGAGTTTATTGAGAAAAGAGACCCTCTCAATTTTGTTTAATTCGAAAATCTTAACATTTAAAAATCACATTGGGTTTGATCAGGTGGTGGGACTTTTTCTTCATTTAAGTGGAGACTACTCTAATCTAGTCTTTATGTTAATGGTTGATAAATCATCCTTCCAGTATCATTATCATTAGGCCAACGTATGCAGGCCTCCTGCTACAGAGATTGACTACCTTCTTCTGACATCTAATTCTATGCCTGGGAATACATTTTTCATTAATGTGAGCTCACTCAATTCTACCTGAAAGTATCAATATTCCTAGTAAAATTGGAGTTTTATCAAAAGGTCTTGGATGACCACATTTTTATTGAAACTTCTATTTTGGGACACTAAAACACTGAACATGACAAGTAAATGTTACACTTGGAAAGAATTTTTTTTAGGGTTTTCAACCAAAGGAAGATGTATTGCAATGAAATAACTTCTTAAACAGTCTGCTACCATTTGGTTCTTAGTTACTTGCTCTTTTTTTCCCCAAATACATGTGTGTATTGATGAATCACAGAAATAACTTCCACTGGTAATCTTACCTTTAGCCATTTCATAGTTAGGTCAGAATATCCATTTCCAAGTTATACTTGACCACTATGTTTCTACTATAGGTAAATGATAAGTTTTTAAAATTATATATTCATAGGTGTCCAGATCTCCAGGAGTCACAATCTGTTGCTCTATAAATTATTTTAAAAAATTCTTATTTACGTTTTTTCTGGTTGTCTAAGAAGATGTCTAGGTGGTAGTAGAAACTATTCACTGATACTTTTTCCACACAATGGCTCAATCTTCTCAACTCATACTTCCTTTAATATTACCTTTATCTCCTGATAGTGAGTATAGAGTTTACTCTGTTATAAATTCCATTTATATTGCAAAATTCCATTTTGCAATTAGTATAACTCTTAAAGGTACTGAAATATGTAGTATTACAATAAGTTGTCAGCCATCTCATTAATATGAAGTCCATAAAATTTTAATATTTTAAATCTATCTCACTGTTTTCAAGCTAGCTATCATCTTTCAAAATTCAGCAAAGTGCTAACTGGGATATTAAAAGCTATAATTATTTCCTATATCCATGCTTTTCAGAAATAATTTGTAATGTTTACTTCATAATATAGCACAACAGAATCAGTTATAAGTTATGTAAGTTTGATATTAACAGATATCATTAATTTAACTTACATTTTTACTTATCTTACTTGAAAAAGTTAATTCAAAATATTTATTTGTTAATGAAAAAATTGGCAATTTATCCTATTCTAAATATAAATGATAAAATCTGAGTAAGTTGCAGTCCTGGCTTCCATTCAACGAGTACATAGGAAACAAAAGCTGGAATAAAAACATTTCCCCCAAATATTTAAGTCACATGTTTGATTTCATTTTTAAATGGTCTGGCTATAAGCAAAAATATATACATTCTTTTATTTCTCTAAATTTGACCTCTTTCCATGGATTTTCTTTGCCCCACTTCCAAATGCTCAGAGAATTCATGCTTCTCACTAAGTTCACAGAAATCTTTAGAATGTTTTATTGTATAGCATTAAACATGTTGAGTAAATACTGACTTATATACTTATGTTACTTCTCTCTCTTTACTGATTGGTTAAATCGCCACTTCTTTCAAGTAACAACTTTCAGGAAACTGGAATCTAGAGATTCATCCAGAGTGGAGATAATCAAACGTGTAATTATTTTATATTGTTAACATTTTAGTATCTACAGGTAAATTCAAATACCTAAAGAGTGTGGAAAAAATTTAAACATAATATATTCTTAATTGATGTGATGTGAATGTAACAAATATACAAATCACATTCCCACAATAGGAAACAAATTTCCTGTTTGAATTTCTCTGTAAAGGACTGATTTCTGAAATCTTTATGTAAGTAAAAGTCAAGACAGTTGACCAGGTTATAGTTCTTGAAAAAAGGTCATGGGAGTGATTTATAGACATTCTACAAATTTAAACAAAAGTACATATTTTTAAAATTAACAGTTGCTGTAATAATATAAAAGTAGATATATTTATGTTTTAATATATACGGCACATACACATTTTACAAATACTTCAATGTCTCAATGTTTTAATGGTCATAGATCTGGAAGGATCTGGTTTTTCTATAAAATGTATCTTGCGAGGTAAAGAGGTTAATGATGAGGTGTCTTGAATCAGATTGAAATACCATCATACCACCAGTTAATATCGTTTTACTTAACCTTTATATGTTTGTAAAAAGCAAATAATATTGAAACCTATTTCAGAGGATTGTGAGAATTTAATGGGATAATTCCATTAAGAGAAGTAGAAAAGTAGCTATCACATGGAAAACATTTCCAATAGATGTCCACTGTTGAAATAGGAATCACACTATTTTACTGTATGTCATCAATTAGCACAATTGATAGTGAATTAGTATAAAACTTCTAAGGAAACATTTAGATAAAATATAAGGACTTTAAGGAGTGACCAAATTACAACTGAAACTAGAAATTTTGGGAAAGTTCAAACGACGTATGAGGAAAAGAAGATATATTTACATATTTGATAGTTACAAATTTAGCCACATGGTGTCGCTGCCAACCACAAGGTCTTTCTCCGCAAAAGAAATACGGTGTGCATTACGTATTCAGATGCTGCTTTGCTTCATCGTCTCTCAATGTAACAGCGAGGAGTTTAAGAAATGAAGATAAGGAACTCGAATTATTTTTAAATTTGGATCAATGTAAAGACAATCTAATATTTGGAATGCTTGCAATGTTGTTCACCTGGCGAGAAGATCCTGGAGCCCAGTGCCTGCTGCTTTCTCTTCTGCTCCTAGCATCCTGGGAGGTGGGGAGCGGTCAGCTCCATTACTCCGTCTCCGAGGAGGCCAAACACGGCACATTCGTGGGCCGCATCGCGCAGGACCTGGGCCTAGAGCTGGCGGAGCTGGTGCCGCGCCAGTTCCGGGTGGCGTCCAAAACACACGGGGACCTTCTGGAGGTAAATCTGCAGAATGGCATTTTGTTTGTGAATTCTCGGATCGACCGCGAGGAGCTGTGCGGGCGGAGTGCGGAGTGTAGCATCCACCTGGAGGTGATCGTGGACAGGCCGCTGCAGGTTTTCCATGTGGACGTGGAAGTGAAGGACATTAATGACAACGCGCCAGTTTTTCCAGTGGCTGTAAAGAATCTGTTTATTTCCGAATCCCGACAGCCTGGCTCTCGGTTTTCGCTAGAGGGCGCGTCAGATGCAGATATCGGAACAAACTCATTGTTGACTTACAGTCTTGATTCCACTGAATATTTTACCTTGGACGTTAAAAGAAATGATGAGGAAATTAAATCTCTTGGGCTCGTGTTGAAAAAAAATTTAAACCGTGAGGACACCCCTAAGTATCATTTACTAATAACAGCAATTGATGGTGGGAAACCAGAGCTCACTGGCACGACTCAACTAAAGATCACTGTTTTGGATGTAAACGACAACGCCCCAGCGTTTGAGAGGACGATCTATAAAGTCAGATTATTCGAAAATGCACCAAATGGTACCCTAGTGGTGATCGTTAACGCCACTGATTTGGATGAAGGAGTAAATAAAGATATTGCATATTATTTCAATACGGACGTATCGGCAGATATTCTGTCAAAATTCCATTTAGATCCAGTCAATGGACACATCAGTGTAAAGGGTAACATAGATTTTGAGGAAAGTAAGTCATATGAAATCCAGGTAGAAGCCACGGATAAAGGAAATCCCCCAATGTCAGATCACTGCACCGTTCTACTGGAAATTGTGGACATCAATGATAATGCACCTGAGTTGGTTATCAAATCACTATCGTTACCTGTATTAGAAGACTCTCCACTTGGCACAGTCATAGCCCTGATCAGCGTGTCCGACCGCGACTCAGGAGTCAATGGACAGGTGACCTGCTCCCTGACGCCACACAT